CAGGCAATGCTTCTTGTGAAAAGCAAACCCAGAACTGGTGTGTGTTTTTTATAGGGCAGGGCAGCTGTAACCAACACCTCCAATCTCATCTCATTGATTGGACTCCAGTTGGCTGACATCTCACTCCAATTAGCTCTTGGAGATGTCATTAGTCTAGGGGTTCACATACTTTTCCACCTGCACTGTGAATGTTTACATGGTGTGTTCAATAAAAACATGGCAACATTTCATTCTTTGTGTGTTATTAGTTTAAGCAGACTGTGATTGTCTATTGTTGTGACTTAGATGATGATCAGATCACATTTTATGACCAATTTGTGCAGAAATCCATATCATTCCAAAGGGTTCACATACTTTTTCTTGCAACTGTATGTACTGTGATATGGCTTTTACACAAACCTAACAAAGTTAATTTACCATGTGATCTGCTATTGCAAAAAAAAAAAAAAGGTTCATACGCCCAGAGACCTCTGAGCACCATTACAACTTCATTCCAATGAAGTTGTTATGGTACCCAGAGTGTTCCTTTAAGGTAACAAATGTAAAATGTTCTTTCTCCTTCTGTTATGATATGATACTCTCCAGCACTATCACCCCTCCTACCCAAAGAAAGTGCGCAAGAAGATGATCTGTGTAATTTCGGTCATGGCAGCTTCAAACAATTAACTCTGACTGCCTGAGAAGGATTTTCTCATTTATATCTAAGTATTAAACTATTACAATTTACGTTGGCACCCATTAGACCTAAAACTCTGTCTGCTGCATTATATTAATCTAGTTTAAAGGGACACTATAGTCACTGGAACAACTACAGCTTAATGTATAGTATACACCTTAATGTATTTGTTTTGAAATTTACATTCAGTTCCTGCAGGTTTTTTGATATAAACACAGCTATTTCAGAGAGAAGGTAGTGTTAACTTCGCTGGCTAGTAACACCTTTTAGTGGCAGTCACTCAAACGGCCACTAGAGGTGCTTCCTGGGGCAGTGCTGCACAGTGTGCATCCCTGACATTCAGCGTCTCTACCCTCTGCATGGAGACATTGAAAGCTCACTGATAGTGTTCCTTTAATTTATTTCTAGTGCTAAGGATATACAGGGAAAGTTTAAGGCTTCATCTAAATTAAGTTGTTATGGTGCCAGGAGGTCCCCAGGTGCATTCTTACCTCAAGGGGTTAAAACGTTCTCGGACGGTTTAACCCCAAAGTTGCCTCCAGCGCTGATCCTTACCCCAGGTGGCATCCGGCTCTCAACCAATCAGTGACTCCCCATTCCTGACTGGCTTGGAAAATGTACGTTTCTTTCCAAGCCAGCTTTGTGAATGTGGAGTTACTGATTGGCTGAGAGCGTCAGCTAACCGGTCAAAATTTGCGCAGAACTGACATTGATGCCACAGATGTAGAGTTACGGCTCTGGCAGGTAAAGGGTTAAAGTGGATGTGCAGTGTTTCACAGTGAAAGCTGCACATACAGACTCCAGGCACCATCACCACTTCAAATCCCTGAACTGTGCTTGGAGTCGGAGTCACACTTTAATGAAAGGTAATGATACATAGTGATATTAGAGATGGGGAAATAACAGATTTTTAGATGATGCAAGTTTTAGGGTTTGCCAGTCTTGTGAAAGTGGATTTTTCCTGATTGCATATGATAAGGGTTAAGAAAACATACCGTTAAAAAATAAAAAGACTCCTCTGTAAGACGTGTAAGAAGCACTGACTAGCTAACAGTTCATTATCTGACAGAGCTCCTCATAAAAAGGATTGCAGTTAACAGATGATGCCTATTGAAATGTCTGCCACTCACAGTGAAGTGTGGGTACTAAAAACAGGTTCTGTGCCTCTCCCACACACAGTCACATTTATTTCGAGGGGGTGGGCTGTGTGAAATGGTTACTTTTGGAAACTATGTACAGTACTTTCACTATTAACACATAAATGCAGTCAGCCATACAGCTGTACTACCAGCCAGGCTTTACTAAACATCAGGTTAAAAGTTCTCCTGGAATTAAAGGGACACTGTATGAATTGTAATTGCTTCATCTCAATGAAGTGGTTATAGTGTATGGAAACACCTGGCGCCAACTTTCCATTCAGCATGAAATCGTTTTTTTAATATTTTTATGTTAAATGAGAATTCCCGATTCCCACGAGGACGCATTATGCTTGGGGTTAATGAGGACACATTAGTCTGAACAGCAATGGGCGACTGGGATTGGGTCAAAGTGTCAGCTGACTGCTTTCAGCCTATCACAGTGCTCATTGCAGGTATGAATCGGTGTGGCTAGAATGAGGTATGTAATCTATGCCGTATTCAGACCTCCGGGCTGTGGGTGGCCAGGAATCTTTATTTATTATCAAACTGCTCAAAAAGGGTTATCACTTTGGAGCGACAGTGTCAGAGTACTCCAGACCTTTTTAACAATGCAATGAGATGTAACAGTTATAGTGCCTGCAGTGTCCCTTTAAAATAATTAGCACCAAGAAGTTTAACTGACCCTGCATGACAGGTTTTATCTCAGGAGAGCTAACAGAAGCTCACTGCAGGAACCTTCGTCTCTCAGTGTTAGAATGACTAGCACCTGGCAGACTAAAGGTAAGTTGTCAAAACATTAGTACATGGTTTTGTTATTTACATTTAGACAGCACCAGGTCACTCCTGGCACCATACCCAAATACAGTGTTCAGACAGCTGCTTAAATTAATATAAAGTTACTAAACTTACTTTACTTTTCTTACTATGGCTGACTTAATAAGCTAGAACATTCACATGCAAGCCTACTCGGATATATCCTGCAAAGCTCAATAGAAGCCTCGTGGCATGCCAGAGAGAGTAAAACAAGATGGTGGCACCCATTAGGAGACCAGGCAACCTTTCTAAAAATGGAGAAACAAGCCTGCTATAGTGGAAGAGGGGAGTTTGGGGTGTGGCTAACATGGAATGCCAGGGTTTTGTATTTTGTTGATTGTATGCTCTTTCAGGCAGGGCCCTCATCAACCTATTGTTACTGTAACATTTACAGGAACATGTCACACACCTAAAGCACTTTATCTTCCTGAAGTGCTTTATATGTGAAGTGTGTCCTCATGTTTTAATTTTTCAATAGAAATTGGCCCATTTATAAATAATATTGCATACAGAACTAGGAGGGTATACAAATCTACAGGAAAGTAACACATTGCATCGTGCATTCATGTTACTCACTGACAGACACACACACATACACGCTGACACACATATACACAGAAGCTCACCGACAGACATACACTCAATCAATGACAGACACACACACACACAGACACTCACTGACAGACATACACACACTCACTGACAGACATACACTCACTGACAGACATACACACTCACTCACTGACACACACTAACTCAATGACAGACAAACACACACACACTGACAGGCATATACTCACTCACTGACAAACAGACACTTACTGAGAGACATACACACACACACACACTCACTGACAGACATTCACTCACTGACATACACACTCACACAGACACTCACTGACAAACATACACTCACTCAGTCACTGACACACACACTCACTGACAGATATACACTCACTCAGTCACTGACAGACACACACATTCACTGACAGACATATACTCACTCACTGACACACACACACACACTCACTGACAGACATACACTCACTCACTGAGAGACAGACACACACACACACACACACACACACACACACAGACACACTCAGTGACAGACATACACTCACTCACTGACAGACACACAAACACTCACTGACACACACACAGGCAGACACTCAGTGACACACACACACTCACTGACAAACACTTAAACACTCACCTCCCTAGGATCCAGTGTGGGGCAGCTCCTCACTCCTCCCACCCACCATTTAGTATGCCGGGGCCGGATTGACGTCATATTCCGGATCACGGCATCACAGAGGGCGCATGAGGGAGGAGTGAGAGGCTGCAAGAACAGCCTCCCTCGCCGCCTTCTCCTTCCCCCTTCTCTTCCGGTCACCGGGATTTGATGGCAGAGCAGGCACCTGTCATCAAGGTAAGAAGGTGCCTGCTCTGCCAAACTGTGACAAAGCTCTTCTGAGCGCCCCCACCTTCGGGTGCCTGGAGGAGCGGCCGGGTGCTGAGGGGCTCTAGAGCCGCATACCCAGCTGCGGTCCAAGACAGGGTGAGCCCACCAGGAAATTCCCGGTGGGCGCCCCAGCGGCCGGCGCCCTAGGCGAATGCCTAGTTCACTAACAGTGGGCCAGCCTGTCTATGTGTGTGTGTACCGGCTAGTGAGTGAGCTTGTCTGTGTGTGTCTGCTAGTGAGAGAGCTTGTGTGTGTGTGTGTGTGTGCTAGTGAGAGCTGTGTGTGTGCCTGCTAGTGAGTGAGCTTGTGTGTGTGTGTCTGCTAGTGAGTGAGCTGTCTGTGTGTGTGTGTCTGTGTGTGTGTGTGTGTGTGTGTGAGTGTGTGTGTGTGTAGTGAGTGAGCTTGTCTGTGTGTGTGTGTGTGTGTGTGTGCCTGCTAGTGAGTGAGCTTGTCTGTGTGTATGTTTCTGCTAGTGAGAGAGCTTGCATGTGTGCCTGCTAGTGAGTGAGCTTGTGTGTGTGTGTGCATTCTAGTGAGTGAGCTTGTGTGTGTGAGAGCTTGTCTGTAGTAAGCTTGTGCGTGTCAGAGTTTGTCTGTACTACATTTGTGTGTGTGTGTGTGTATGCCAATAAGTTTGTCTGTGCATGTCAGTAAGATTATCTGTCAGTGAGCCTATTTGTGTGCATCTGTACAATTGTGTATTTATGTCAATGAGCTTATATATATCAGTGAGATTGTTTGTTTGTCTATGACACTGTGTATCAATGAGCTTGCGTTGTCAGTGAGATTGTCTGTGTCTGCATGTGAGTATGCTTACTGTATAATTAAATGTTTGACTCTGAAAGGAATATTTTATATTAGAAAAAACAAATATATGTATATATATATATTGACCAATAATATGTAAGAGCTATGTCTTGCCACCCCCGATGATTGAGTCATATTTATATATATATATATATATGTATGTGTATATGTGTGTATATGTGTGTGTATATATATATATATATATAACTCAATCATCTGGGGTGGCAAGACATAGCCGTACGTATTACATGTGACAATACGTGGCGCAATGACTTATGGGGCTGGCATAGATTTTTTTTTCCAGGGCTGCTTTGTATCCCTAGTCCGGCCCTGACAACAGGACAACATGTGTCTAAGATCATTAATCTGCTTAACAGAAAAACATCGATCTTTTCTTTATCTGCATAGACTTTGAATTAATATTTACCCACTCTTTCTTATTGTGAAAAGTTGTAACAAAATCTGCTGTTTTTCCTTCTGCTACTGGCCTCCTCCCACTTGTTCATTTGCATCTGACAGCTTTAGCAACATAACTCAATGCAGTGTGATCTGGAACCGTTCCCAATCTATTTTTGCTCATTATTCTCTTGCCTTTGCTTGAGATTTGAGCCTCCTCTCTCTGTAGGTGCTGTACTTAAAATAGAAAAATAAAGCAATATAACTGTTTCTTACCCATAACCGTGGGCTATGGGTAAGAAACAGAGTGGACCTTTTCTACCACTGCGAAATTCAACGACAGCTTTCTGGACAGCAGTGGGTTTAAAAGGCAGGAGACCACTGCTTGGCCTTTTTATATCCCACCGAATGTATTCACTTTAGACTTACCTGTGCCTGCAGCGTTCGTTAGGAGGTGCTGGGAGTTTAGGTTTTTCGGATGATTTAAGAAGAGAGCATAGCAGGGAAGTTTATGAATCTGCACAAGTAATTTGTCTGTCCAGTGTTTCAAGAGTTTTATTGTAAAACTCAGTCAATATGAAATTTAAAACGAAATGACCACTGTTCCCAGGATACTTGATTGAGATGAAGTGAATTGGGTGACTTTTTAGAGGCCTTTAAGTGAAATGAAAATCATCCTTTGGAACCAGACTGGGTCAGTTAGTCTGCTGTAAATATATACACACTATTATATTCTATAATGTATATATTTTGCAGTGCACTGATGGGAGCACAGATATCCTTGGAGCTGGGAGACTTAACCCCATCTACAAAAGCTGATATTAAGGCATTAATGCTGGAGATAAAAGCCATATTCAATGCGGACATGGCACCGGTCCGTAAAGAGATTTCCACGCTAACCAATCGCATGGGAGCGGTGGAAGAAAGCACCAAGCTAGAGCAAACTGCTACAGACACTGCAAAAACAGTGTGCTAACCAGCAGGCACGACTGGCTAACATGGAGGATAGGGCAAGTACCCGGAATCTGAGAATCCGCTGAGTGCCAGAGGCAATCTCAGCAACTGAGCTCCCTCACTATTGCTGGAGACTTATTGCCACATTACTGACGCCCAAGCAAGCCAAGCAACTGACAGTCAACTCCTGCTTTAGACTTGCCAGAGCTACTACAGCACCACAAGATGCACCCTTAGACGTCACTCATGATGAAACTAGTAAGGGACTCTGACAGGGGAGTGCTCATGGGAGCAGCAAGGGGCTCTCCCACGGTGTCCTTTGAAGGGGCACAACTGGCTTTTTACAGGGACTTTTCAAGGCACACCCTCATGTGGCAGAGATCCCTCCGACAAATTTTCCAGCTGTTAAGAGAGCACTCAATCCCTTACAAATGGGGCCAACATCGGTTACAAACTGAAAGGTCCGGCAAGACCCATTGCTCTCTAACGCCATGGAAGCACCAGCATTCCTCCAAAATCTGGGCATTCCGATGGATATAACTCATTTTGTTCCAGGTGGCGGATCACCTCAGGCACCTACCTTGCCTACCTGATTCCAGCAGCGAAGGACCCCTTGGTCCCGCACATTCTACCATACTTGCTATGTTGTAAACATGATTTCAATTCCTCTATACTGGCTCCGTAAGTGGCTAGTGATTATTTTCAGTTTGTTGTTATTGTAAGTTTGCCATAACATGCTTGGCATGAGATTAGACGTCAGTCTACCGCTAATGTCTCCCTAAGCCTATGAAGCTTATGAACAGCTATACTACCACCCTCAGTGCCTTAATAAGCCATGGCTATCTGCGCTATGACCCTACTGTATAGGCACCTGAAGCTTCATACCAGCACCCCCAGGACACGCCTCACACCACTCTAGTTTAAAGGACCACTATAGGCACCCAGACCACTTCAGCTTAATGAAGTGGTCTGGGTGCCAGGTCTAGATAGGATTAACCCTTTTTTCTATAAACATAGCAGTTTCAGATGTCTCATTGACAGCCGCTGGAGGCGCTTGCGTGCTTCTCACTGTGAAAATCACAGTGACAAGACACCATCGTCCATAGGAAAGCTTTCCTATGGACTGGCTGAATACGCACGCGGCTCCTGCCGCGCATGCGCATTCAGCCGATGACGTCGCTAGGAAGAAGGAGAGGAGGAGGAAAGCTCCCCGCCCGGCGCTGGAGAAAGGTAAATGTTTAACCCCTTCCTCTCCCCAGAGCCCGGTGGGAGGGGGACCCTGAGGGTGGGGGCACCCTCAGGGCGCTATAGTGCCAGGAAAATGAGTATGTTTTCCTGGCACTATAGTGGTCCGTTAAGCGAGAGAGGGTCCATTAGACATTTACCTTATAAAAAACTGAGTTGATGTCTGCAATGTGTAATACTGTAAATATTTATTTTGTGTTCAGTTTACCATTCCTGCAAAGCACATGTCATGCTGTAATGATTGCACTAACTCGCAAAAATAAAGAATAAAAAAAAAATGATATATTAATTAATGTTTTGTTTTTGTTTTTTTACTGCTCCTGTTTTTCCATCTATCGGTCACTTGATCTGTGAATAAAATCCACATTTAGTGACTGTCCACGAGCAATTAATCACCTGTTTTCCCATCAATCATCCCATTGTTTGGAGCCAGGGGTGAAATTCAGACACCACTGACCCTCTGAGCATTATTGTTACTCCATTATTCTGATATATTTTGGATCGTAATTCGGGATTTTGGTCAAATTCCCAATAGGCCCAAATTTGCGCAAATTCCAGTTCGGTCCAAAACAAATCTCCAAGTCTACTAAAAAAGGTCTGTTGTTTGCTGAATTATCGACAACATTCAACCACTGAGACCAATTGTCACTGGAAACATTTAGCAAGGAGGACGCACTTGAATAACATTCTGTATCCAGGAAACATAATCTCTGTTTTACGTTCTGATGAGTTTTCTGCACAGTCTTTTCAGAGCTGTAATCTGATTCAGACAAGATCTGAGACATTTACCACTGCTGTCATCGTCAGAAGAGTGATAGGAATCATATTTTTCCAGCAGTGATTCTCTGGTCTATATAATGGTTTTGCAATTTCCTGTGAGTGATTTAGCCATACAAGTCAGAATATGTTTCTTTATTAAATCACTTGACTCTAGAGCAGGGGTGGTCAACCTTTAGTACTCCAGATGTGCATTATAGAAGATGTAGTCCACAGCAGTTGGAGTGCCGAAGGATGCCTACCCCTGCTCTAGACAATTGTTGGCCAAACTTGGAGCCCCTGTTGTTTCTGAATAACATTTCCATGATGCTCAGTAAGTCATTACAGGTAGTCCTCATTTTACGACGTACCTGTTTAACAACATCTTGGACTTTAAACGTTTAACGTTTTTTATATTTTTCTACAGCAAATCTAGAGTCAATAGGTAATGGGAATCTGTGACATTGAGAGATGTGACAGCTCCTCTTTAGTTTTTCCATGTACGTGTATTAATGGAGGCAATAGATAGAGGCAAATTATAGTATTTTACATTCTGGTTACATTTGTGGAATCTGCATTCCCAAACATACGAGGAAATGCTTTACGCATGCAAAAAAGCAAGGTTTTTGAGCAAATGTTTGACATGTCTACTGTTCACATGAAACTGTATGGTTTTTGAATGTGTCATTATTTTGAATCACTCAAAATTCCTTGTTGTGTGCCCATTTTATTAAATTCAGATAAAAAATATGGCAATAAGCTGAATGATATTTACTAATACTTTATCGATCTTTCCAGGAAAAGTCATCAACAATTGGCGTATTCTTCAAAGTGAGATTGAGTGTGGATTCTGGACCCCATTTTTCCAGTATATACAGATTGTGGCCACAGGAGACCTTGAAATATCATAAATCAAGTGGTAAGAACATAGGGTTCGTAATGATTGTGTATGTCCCTACAGCTCGATATTATGATCCTGATATAGCTCTGAATTTATCTGAGGGTTTGCAGGAAAATATATTGTTCCTTGTGCAGTGAAACAGTGGGGGCTCTTCTCCAAAACAGAGAATGTGATTGGCTATTGACAGATGTCACATGATCTCAGCAGTCTTGTTTTTAAAACCGGAAGGAATACTCACCAGGTAGCGATCTGCAATCAAGCTTTCCATATATATACAGGACACTTAGAGGACCACCCCACACTTTTGATAAAGCCTCTGGAGAGGCGAAACGTGTCAAGTGGGACTTTTTTGGACATTTATTTGTACCTATATATATTTTTTTATGTTATTTTTTTTTTTTTTACAATAAATAGTTAATTTTTTTCCTTTCACTATTTTGTATTCTACTTTGTATCATGCTTGCTACCTGGTGCCACCATATCCTTAGGTGGGGATAGTACCACCCATGCTGTGAAAACTAGAGCAGGTCTTGCTCTATAAATTGTAAGTACATTACTTTTTTTAAACATCCCAGTTTATAGTACTTACTATACTATCAGAGTTTTCTATCTTCTACTTTTACATTTACCATCAATATTTGCACTCGCATTTGGAGGATCAGTACCATTTCTATCATCCTATATCCTTAGACGGGGATCATACCGTCCACGCACAATACACCAGAGCTCTTATATAGCTCTATCTAATGTGAGTGGTTTTCCTACAGTTATCTAGCTAATATCTTGCACTTTATCAAATTGTATTGCACTATTATTGTTTTTCTGTTTTATTATTTTGAGTTATTTAACAGCCCCCCCTTCTGCAGTTGTATGTACGTATGATTTTGGACGCAGTATATGCCATATTCTATCTTTGTTTTTATTAGTAACGTTCAATGAGAGTTTGAAAATTGTGATACAATTCCAAGGTAGCTGCTTCTACAGTT